TGGCGAACCTATGGCACAGGTGCCAGAGGTGGCACTCAGAGCCCTCTCTGTGGGCATGCATGCCGTTGCCCCAGCCCTGCCACTCCCCATGGCCTTCTCCTCACCAGCAGCCCCCCCCCTCAGAGGAAAGTTGCCCCAGGTGCAGCCTGCGCAGAGCAGCACAGCCAAGGACATGGGAGCCAGGCAGCGGGGACAGACTCCACCCTCGTGCCCCATCGCTTACAGATGGTGGTGCAGGGCATGGACAGAAGGCATGGCTGCTATGAAGCTCCTGGGCTGCCTGGGCAATCTGCTGTGGCGGGCCATGGAAGTGGTGGGTGGCCCTGCGGGCAGGAGAGGTGGGGGCGGGGCAGGGGCGAAGTGGTTTTTGGGCACTTGGTCTCTAAAAGGTTTGCCATCACTGTGCTAACCAGTTGCACCAAGTGCTCAGACCAAGGCTAAAGCACAAGACAATTAATCCAAGAATTAACATGAATATAACCCCTCTACCCCATTGTTTGTTTTTTTTTAAAGGATGAGAACTATCCATACAAAGCATGGGTCACTTATGTTGGCATTTCGTCTCTCCCAGAGGCTAAGATCCGTCTCATGTATACTTAAATCTCAGCTCAGAAAAACATCCAGTATCTTTAGTGGTGGGATTCAAATATGTGAACAACCGGTTCTCTGTGTGGATGCTGCTTCCGGAAGTCCATTCTGGGCCTGGACAACCAAAAATTAGCTACTGGTTCTCCCAAAGTGGTGCCAACTGGCTGAATCCCACCACTGAGTATCTTAAGTATAATTACAGGAATGCAGAAGATGAGACCCTTTTATCCATCTAGCCCAGTTTTGCCAAGATTCCTAACAAGATTTTCGGAAACGTAAGGATGGAAACAACTGACCTAGCTCCTCAAGTCGTTTTCTTGCAAGCTATCAATCAGCCTGTGAGCAAAAATCAGTCAACAGAGTTTGAACACCACTGGAATTAGGGTGACTGAGGCGACATTGTTTTAGCTTTGTGGAAAACAGGTGTCTCTGGCAGGAAGTGTGATACTTCATAGAGAGATCCTGAATTCATAGTCTTTTGAGAAGTGGACAGTAAGGAAAGGGGCAATTAGAAGACTGTAAAGCTGAACAGCTGCTTCTCGAAGGGATCGGAGGCGAATTTGATGAGAGCCTCGGAAGACAAAAGGGGATGAATAGAACTCAGGATTTTCCCTCCTGCATTGCATCCATCCATCCATCCAGCTAATGGAAGGCTGGACTATCCTTCCTGCTCTGGGCACATCTTCTGGGCCTGAAGGAAGGCTGCCCCCTGCTGGAGCATGCTTGCATTTCAGCTGGGAAAGCCCAACTTCTTGTTGTTGATCATCGTAGTCAGCCAGATGTTCGGGCTGGATTTGGCATTTTTGTCTACATACCGAGTCCTTACCAAGGACCTGGAATGTTGATGTTTGATGGTATTATAGATATCGCCGCAGGATGGAAGCTGTTCCTAGTAAGGCAGCCTTTTGCAATTGACTAATGGTGAATGTGTCAATGCCAATGGTGTCCAAGTGGTGCTCCAGTTGTTTTGGGATTGCACCCAAGACGCCTATTACTATTGGTACTACCCTTGCCTTGCCTTTGCCACAGTCATTCTATTTCTATTTGTAGGTCTTTGTATTTTGTTGCTGCTGCTACTACTGTTATTAAGAACTTTAACCAGTGTGAGAGCACTTAGTCCCTTCCTGGCAGCCATTTTTTTCCTCTTATTCTCATAAGACCCCTCAGGTTTCATCTCCTATCAAGAAATTAAATGGAAAGAGGAGATATGCAAGGAGAAAAGTCCCTTTTCGGTCATTGCTATTTGAATCCTAAAGCGCAAATAAAGCAGGCACTGAAGCTTCTAAGTCAGTGATGGTGAACCTATGGCACGCGTGCCAGAAGTGGCACTCAGAGCCCTCTCTGTGGGCACACACACTGCAGCCACTAGCAGCTCATGCAGGTTCATTAGGCTGCTGCCACTCGGAGCAGCAGACCGCCCAGCACAAAGCAGGCAAAATGGCCGGCTAGCAAGCTCGAGGAGAGATATTAGAGCAGGGGTAGTCAACCTTGGCTCTTTTATGACTCGTGAATTTCAGCTTCAACTCCCAGCACAGCTGGCTCAGGAATTCTGGGAGTTGAAGTCCACGAGTCATAAAAGAGCCAAGGTTGACTACCCCTGTGTTAGAGTATTGAGGTGGCCACGCCTACCTGGCCACACCCACCCGGTCTGCTATGACCACCCTGGCCACGCCCACCCAGTAGGCCACACACACCACCCTCCCTGAGGGAACCACAATGCTGATGCGGCCCTGGCACTTTGCAATAAATAAGTGGGTTTTGGGTTGCGGTTTGGGCACTCGGTCTCTAAAAGGTTCGTCATCACTGTTCTAAGTGGATTGTAACCAATTAGTAGTTACAAGTGGTAGCTGAAGTTAAGAGTTTTAGCTTCATTCCCACTGGTTCCCAACTTCATGTAATGAAGTTTCTGTCACTTAAAGCAATAAATGAAGGAACCATCGGTCAATCAAGGAGGCTTCCAACTTTTCCCATAATTTAGCTTGGGACAGAAGGATGGAATCAGAAAAAGCAAGAATGGTGAAAAACGATTTAAAATGATTCACATGCATGTGGCAGCATCTAACTAGTTAGATGGTTTAGTTGTTATTCTTCTAATTCCCTGTCTTCATCTAGGGAGTACAACTAAACTTTTAGAATAGATTGAATATCTGGATGGAGAAAACTGACAAAAGAATTCCAACATTGCTTCAGATAGAGGCGATCTCTGGAAACCATTGCTGGGTTAAATTAAACTGAGGATAACTTCTATTGTTTGGGCTAAATCATGTTTCAGACTAATTATTTTGGAAATGTAAAAGACATCTGTAACTCCATCTCTTTAAAATCAAAAGAGGCTCAACTGTCACGTTATATTCCTCCTCTTCAGAAAATGAGGCATTTTAATGGGTGACTTTTAAGGCCTTATGGTGTATAAAAACTAAAATGAAAAAAATGGAAGTGAAAACTGACATTGTGAGGAAACAGCACTCAGAACTTAGAAATAAAATATTATCATTTGACCAATTAAAACGATTATGTAATGATTTATCCATCTAAGCCTGGTTGTGCAAATAAACTGAGGAAAGAATTTTAATCTGCTTGAGTTTCTGGGGGGGGGGGGAGAAGGTAAGTCAGCCCAACCTGCCTCACAGGAATATGGTGGTGGAGCAAGTAGAAGGTGAAAGCATTATGTACCACTATCTGGAGTTGTACAGAAATATAAAGCAGGTTATAAACCTAACAAATAACCTCTAATGGGTTTCCTCCAGATTTGAGGATCACAGCCGTTCTGCCCAGTAGTGGGATTCAAATATGTGAGCAATCGGGTCCATGTGTAGATGCCGCTTCCGGAAGTCCATTCTGGGCCAGGGCAACAAAAAATTAGCTATCGGTTCTGCACAACTGGTGCGAACTTGCTGAATCCCACCACTGCCACATGCCAACAAGAGTCCATTTTCACTGCCATCTCGACCTTGAATATTCCCCTCCGTGGTCTGCAGCTGATCCAGTCCTGGGATCCCTGAGTGGATTGATTGGATCAGGTGCCATCAAGCCTCTTGAGGGCAGGTATCTATTCCCTCCCTGAAGGTGCTGGTCAGGATCTGGTCAGCATCCCCATCATCACCACTGTAACCTCCGCCTCGGCTACTGGCCACCCTCTTCTCCTTCTCTCCATCTCCTGGTGGCATCATGTTCCAATTCTGAACAAGTTTGACTTTCTTTCTTTCTTTCTTTCTTTCTTTCTTTCTTTCTTTCTTTCTTTCTTTCTTTCTTCCTTCCTTCCTTCCTTCCTTCCCTTTTCTTCCTTCCTTCCTTCCTTCCCCTTTCTTTCTTTCTTTCTTTCTTCCTTCCTTCCTTCCTTCCTTCCTTCCTTCTTTCTTTCGTCCTTTTCTTTCGTCCTTCCTTTTCTTTCTTTCTTTCTTTCTTTCTTCCTTCCTTCCTTCCTTCTTTCTTTCGTCCTTCCTTTTCTTTCTTTCTTTCTTTCTTTCTTTCTTCCTTCCTTCCTTCCTTCCTTCCTTCCTTCCTTCCTTCTCTTTCTTTCGTCCTTCCCTTTCTTCCTTCCTTCCTTCTTTCTTTCTTCCTTCTCTTTCTTTCGTCTTTCCCTTTCTTTCTTTCTTTCTTTCTTTCTTTCTTTCTTTCTTTCTTTCTTTCTTTCTTTCTTTCTTTCCTTGATCAAAAGTCAGGTGTGCAGTAAATGGGAATGAAAGGGAAGCTCTCCGTCCGTCTAAAGAGGGCGCGCGCACGGGAACCGCCGCCGGAGCATAAACCTCCCGGCCAGGGTCCCGTTCTTTCCCCCCCACCCTCGCCATCCAGGTGAGGATAGGGCAAAAAGTTGCGCAGCTTTCCTTCGTGGGCTCCGTGCCCACCCCGCGAGCCCAGCCCGGCGGCCGCCTCTCTGCTCGGGACGAGATCGCGGAGACGCTGCGGAGGGTTCACTGGGGAGGGGGGTTGGATCCGTCCCGCGGCGCCTCTCCTCCTCCTCCTCCTCCTCCTCCTCGGTCATCGCCTTCCCGGCGACCTCTCCCCGGGCTGGAGAGAGGGAAGCGGGCAGCCCCCGCGGCTCCTGGTCCCCGGGCGGGCGTCCCGGCACGTGGCTGCCTCCGCCGTTTCTGCCCAACTTCGGCGGGGAAGAGGGGGCGCCGCTGGTGGAGGGGAGGGGTCGGGGAGCGCCCCCCACCCGGCTGAGCCCCCGGGCGCGTCCCGGCAGGTCCCGGCGAGCGGCGGCCGCCTCTTTTCTCCTCCCTCCCGCGGGCTCGGCTGTGCGGCGGGGGGGCGGGGGGGGGTGCCGAGGCAGCTCCTCCCGGAGCCGAGCGGCAGAGCCGGGGCAGAGTCAGCGGCGAGCGAACGCCTGGCTTTGTCTCTCCAGACGGGGATCTTACGCAAGCCCCCCCCCCGCCCTCCCGTTTGCAGGAGGCGGCCAGAAGGAGCCGGGAGGGATGCTGGCTGAGCTGGGCGCCCCCAACCTCCTCCGCCAGGCTCTCCCGCGCTAGGCGTGGAAGCCGGCGTGGGCCCCCCCCCTCTCCGCTCTCCAAAGCCCGGAGAACTCCGGAAGGGCGCAAGCGGGACCTTCCCAACCCTCCGCCGGCCGGAGAGCCCCCCCCCTCCGCCCCTTCGGAGGAAGAGGCGCCGGGCTTCTCCCGGGTCGGCATGGCCCGGCGGGACCTGCTTCTCCTGACCTTGGCCGGGCGGCTGCTGCTGCTCCTGCTGCTGGAGGCCTGGACCGGAGGCCACGCGGCAGACCCGAGCCAGCCCAGGTTGCGCCTGGCGCATAAAGGTAAGGCGTCGCTGTCTTTGGGGCAGGTGACCCGCTTTTTTTTTAGGGGAATGGGGGGGAGGAGTCGAGCTTAGCACTTCGAACAGCTTCAGTTGCCCTTTGGCTTCTTTCAGCGACGGGGGGGGGGAAGGTATTCGTTTCCACTCTACGCGAAAGCTCTTAGGATGCGGAGGGGAGCGGAAGCGCGACGTTGCTTTCCCGCTTAGCGGGCGTCTGCCCACCGCCAGCCAACTTTGCCTCGTTTGCAGAAGTGGCGCCGCTTGACAAGACGCCCCCCCCCCGAAAAAAAAAACCCTCCTCCACCCTCGCCAACTTGGCTTGCCTCCGCCTTGAGCTTATGAAACCCAACGTGTAAGCAGGTTGCGCGATCTCTGCAGGATCGTATCCCAGGCAGCCGCGTCGGAATCCTCCCGAGAGTCAACTTCGGGACCTGATTTTAGTGCTTGAAACGCTTCACGATCCAATCTGCCTCTCTCTCCCTCCCCCCCGTTTCCCCTTTGCCTCTAGTCCTCGGAATCCAGATTCAGCTTAAGGAGCAGGTGGGGGGGGACTGAATTCTTCGAGCGAATGAATCATCTTCCGAACGAGCAAATGTCATCGTGTAGCAATTACACTGATGATGAACAAGCTTACTTCTAGCTGAATTACGTTGCCCAAAGTGAAAATGGAAAAACAAAACAAAACCTGCCTTATGTATCTATACGGATCTGGGGGGGGGAGGGTGTCCCACTCTTTCTCTTCGTAATGGGAGATCCACTCTCCTGCAATTTCTTGCTCAGCCCTGGAATTTGAAATCTCTTCATGCAGAACCTTGATTTCATGCCAAGGACTTGATGTAATTTGACAAGAGGCTTCTTTGTCACAGAGAGGTGCTCTTTGCTTATTTATTAATTTTGGCTTTTAATCCGGGAGAAAACTGGTAAATGTCCTGTGGTAAATGTCCGGTTCACTGTTTTAGATTTAAATCTTAGATTCCTTGGAGTCTCATTGAAGCTACTGGTATTTGAAGTGGGGGGGGGGGTGATGGGGAAACTTGCATGGAGCGTGGTACAATCTGTGAGGACCACAGGTGGGACTTAAACGTCAACATGGTAGCGGCATCCCCTATTTTGTTGACGATTGTCATGTGAATGTGCAAATGAGGGCACTTTGCTGACCAAGTTGCATCTGGACTTCAGCCAGGCATATCCCAAAGAGAGAAGGCAGAATCTGACTCTCTTAAATGGCAGTGCTGTATGGATTCATTTGGGGATCATGCCTGGATTGTTGGCTTTACATCTAGACAAGATTAGGCTGTTCTGACTGCAGTTCTTTGCACAGGAGCCTGAGGGGAAACCTGGATGCTTTTATCTGAGTAAAACTGTGTGGGATGCATTCCACGAATGGCTGCCCCCCACCACCACCGCCCTGAACGGTACTCAGTGCAGGTGGGACCCTTTTAGCATAATTGGTGATCTTAGTTTGCTTTTCAGTGTTCATCAGCAACTGGGAAGGAAGCAGTTAGGTTCAGAATACGTACAGCTTTTTTTGTCCCTTCAAGAGGGCTTTTTGACACTTGGGCAACTCCTGCACATTTTCTTGGCATTTTGGGGGGGGGGAGGGAATGGTTTGCCCTTGCCTTTTTCCTAGGGCTGAGAAAGAGTGGCTGGCCCAGGGTCATCTAGCTGACTTTTCTGCCCCAAAAATGGGGCTTGAATTCATGGTCTCTGGGTTTCTAACCAGGTGCCTTAAGCACTCTGCCAAGCTGGTTCTATTACTGACATTTCCAAAGATAGATAATATATTCTTTTATAAAGAGATAAAAAGTATTCTTCTCTTTATATTGCATCCTTACATTTTACAATAAGAACTTCAACTGAACACTCCATTGTAGAAACTGCTATACATTCCTCCATACAAATGTAGAATAATTGCTATCTACTTTCCGTACTTCACTAAGAAATTAAAAGCTTCCCTTAGTAACTAGGCTGTCTCAAGACTTAGGAAGAGGGGAAGAAGCAACTCAGAGAGTACATTTGATTGTAATTATGGAAATAGGTTGTTAAAGATTTCTGAAAGGAAGCTAATTAAGATACTGGTAATCTTATTGTGACCCAGACCCATTGAACACAACTGGGCAGGCATAGACTACTCCTATCTATATTCACATAACACATTCAAACAGATCAGTGAAATATTGAGAGCTTGATTCTCATGATGTTCTAAATTTCAGTCTTAACTTTTTTTTTTACAGCCCGTGTTTATGATTTAGTGCATTGTGCAAGTATTTTCTGAGTTAAACACAATGTAAGAGCATACCCTTACTTAGGTACATAATATTTGGTATATACCTTAATGTTTTGCAAGGAACACTCCAGGAACTGTAATTGTACTTTAGCAAGTGACCTGTTGCTTAACAGGGAAAAAAAAGTTGGAAATAGAGGAGACCACATAGTGGATCAATTAGGGTGCCAAGGGATCCCTCTGTACTTTAAAGTATAATAATGGCATCACTTTAGGCCAAATCCATCCTCTCAGCCCCACCCACTTTGTGAGGATAAAGATGGAGCAGGAATGCTCTATAGGTTGCCTTGTAAACCTGGAGGGGAGAGGGGAAGGGAGGGAGGGAGGGAGGGAGGGAGGGAGGGAAGGAAGGAAGGAAGGAAGGAAGGAAGGAAGGAAGGAAGGAAGGAAGGAAGGAAGGAAGGAAGGAAGGAAGGAAGGAAGGAAAAATTAATTTTCTACAGTGCCATTTTTTGTTGGAAGTATACATCAATTTAAATCTGATGTGACTGGCTGTGTGGCAAAGCCTTTGTAAGCCTTCTATTGTACACTTGGCAGCCAGATTCATCCACATCAGAAATATGCCGGGGGTGACCGGTGCAATATTCCTTTGGGGCTGATTGTGTCCTCAGGACACGGACAATGGCAAAGTTTATTCCCTTGGGAGAAGCGGTTTGATTGCGTTCTCTGCCTCACTCTCTTCACACCCATTACTTCTTGTCTCTACATTTACAGAGACTTCAGAATACCCCAGCAATCATTCAAAGTTTCTCGCCCTTGCTGGGAATAATAGCTGCAATCAGACTATTCACAAAAACGATTGGTTTCAAATTCGGGACGATCATAATGTTCAACAATCAGTTCCAATTAAATAGCTGTAGTAACTCTATTTTAGCTCTTTTCTTCCTTGGGCTGCAAATGGAGATAGAAACACCACAGAATAAAACCTCTGTTGGCATTTTTGCATTCTGCTGGGTTATCTGCCAGGAACTGGCTAGCTTCCTATAATACACCCCTGACTCAATGCCTTCTGTTTTACCACTAGCTGAAAGTTGTACAATATTTTTTTTACATTTTTTTTAATCGCACTTTTATTATTTTTATAAATAAGATGGTAAACGTACCTAATACTCCTTCCTTCCTACTCCTGTTTTCCTCAGAACAATCCTGTGATGTGAGTTAGGCCCAGAGAGACTGGCCCAAGTCACCCAGCCAGCTAAGAGGGGACTAGAACTCCCAGTCCCTAGGCCTAGCCCAAGGGTGGGCAACCTTGGCTCTTTTATGACTCGTGGACTTCAACTCCCAGAATTCCTGAGCCAGCCATGCTGGCTCAGGAATTCTGGGAGTTGAAGTCCACGAGTCATAAAAGAGCCAAGGTTGCCTACTCCTGGCCTAGCCTGATGTCTTAATCACTGTAGCAAACTGGCTCTCATTAGAGCTCTCTATGTACATATTAATATCTAATATTAATAAAAGCTTTAGATTAACAGTCATTAACGAAACGAAAGAGCAGCTGGCACATTCCCAAGTTGATCGCTCCGGGTCATCTGGCATTGTCTGCTTTGCAACCGTGCAGGTGGTGGCCATTCTCCCTAAGACAGGCTGGCCTGCTGGGGTGTTCCTGAGCCCCAGGCAAAGGCTGCGGCTGAGGCCGGTAGCCTGGGCCTTCAGTGGTTGGGGAGGCAGGGCTGCCAGGGAGAAGGGAAGCTCAGTCCAAAACCCTCCATCTCTTTCCAAATGAGCAGGTCCTCTTGCCACAGACCCGTCCAGATTCTGAGTCAGACCCTGTTGGTGTTCCAGATATTTTCTGCCTTCGTAGGTCCAGAGAGGAAGGCTTGGCCAGGAAGGCCTGCCTGCAGAAGAAAAGGCTTTCCACCTCCTTAAGAGTAGCCTCTGCAACCCTTCCCATCATGGCTGCCTGAGGGAAACCAGGCCAACATGGAAGCTGCCTCAAGGGACACCTGCTTATCATGCTGCTGTGAAGATGGAGGCTGAGTTTAGGACCCCCCTCTCTATATGGCAGATGTAGTGATCAGGGATTAGCACCGTCTTTTGACTGAGTTTCTGCAGCTTGTCAGGCTCCTGCTTAGCCTCAGTGCAGGAAGAGTCGCTGGGAGACTGGGGTTAACAGTGGAGTTGTGGGCCCAGTGGTGGGATTCAGCTGGTTCGCACCACTTTGGCAGAACTGGTAGCTAATTTTTTTGTTGCCCAGGCCCAGAATGGACTTCCTAAAGCGGCATCCACACAGAGAACCGGTTGTTCACCTATTTGAATCCCACCACTGTATGGGCCTCATCCTGCTTCTCAGTGCTGCCCAACCTTTCTGCTGTCAAGGGCTGCGGTGAATCAGTATTTCGTTCTTTTTTAAAAAAATCAAGTGAATTGGATTTGCTTCCTCACTGCAAAAACAAGAGAGAGAGAGAGAGAGAGAGAGAGAGAGAGAGAGAGAGAGAGAGAGAGAGAGAGAGAGAGAGAGAGAGAGAGAGAGATTTGGAGCAGCAAGGAGGATGGCGAAGCCCTGGTGAAATGGGGACTTCGATGCTCCCCATTAAAGCAGCCAGAAGAGAAGCTGGAGAAGTCACAGAAGCCCCGAGCATCTTCTGAGGGATCCTCACAAGGCAGCACAAAGACATGTCTGGAGGCTGGGTCTGTTTATTTGGCTGTGTGGAAATATCCTTAAAATTGGGAGTGACCTCTGACCCGCCCTTAAGCCTTATGTGAAACTTGTCTTCACCAGG